CACTGTGCGGAAATACGGCTCACGTTTTCTAAACGCTCTTCTTCGGCAGAAGCCGGATGATAGATTTCAGTGAAAAGCCTTCTCTTTTTTTCAGTGAGTTTTGAAAAACTGAAAGTGTCTTCTCAGCTTTTGCTATGGACTCAGTGCTACGTCACCAGGACAGTGTAATTTCATCTAGAAATACTGGTAACTTCAGTGAGCGACGTCAGGCCCTGTTCTGCCTAAGTCTTCACTTTCTATTGCCAGTGGAGTTGTTAGAGCTGATAATTCAAAAAATACAATATTTATAACTTATTCATGATTTATTTCAAACCTCTTTCACAGCCTGATGCACATGAGGCAATTTAAATCACCAAAACTCTGTTCTGCAGCTAACACTTCATTACACTGAATGGAAAAGTTTACACATCTGTTGGTGCCGTATTGTTTCGGGCTGGCTGCAGAGCAAACACTCCAGCACGGCACAGATTTGCCGCAGGACGGCTGTCTCCGATCCGGAGGACGGAAACGTTCCTTTTCTGACAAAGGCAAGTGAGTTCCGCGGGATGCAGGATGCAGAAGAGCCTCAGTCCATGGCGTCGAAGGACCAACAGCCCCTCTCCCCAAGGGTGCTAAGGGAGAGGTTCTTCAAGTTCAGCAGAGTAACGGGGCATCGCTAGAAGCCTTGGCAGAAGGGGGGTGTCTGTGCAAGCCCTTTTCATCCCAAGGAGATGCCGGTCTGTGTTATTAAACCCTGTTAATTCTGATACCATAGAACCATAACGGTGAACCTAACCTCACGCTATTTTCCTTATTTAAATGTAACCTCATCGTTCTGATTTCAGAGTCTCAGGTGATTCAAAAATTGGAGACTAAAAATCTGCATTCTAAACTCACCGTATAAATTCTGCTGAAATTACTGTAGACATATGTATATGGACATATGTAACGAATATAGGCTACGCAAATATACTCTCTACAACGTATATTTATACAAAAGTGAAGTCATGTACCAGGCAATTGACCTTATTTAGGTCACCAGTTCTTCATGGTAGGCATCATTTTTGTGTCCTGGCCTGGCATGGCGGGGTTCCAGGATGCTCTTAGGACTCCTGGCCAAGCGATTAATGGAAGCAGTAATAAAACACCCGTGCCTTTCACCAACGCGAATCAAAAATCCTAACCGCAAAGCCAGGAAACAAATCCAGCTGAGTTAAACATTATGCTGGTTTCTACTCTCCATCCCCACTCCACACCACGGTTGGTTTTCATCCGCTTTTGTTTGTTCGCGCTCCTGTCATTAACCAGCTTGAAAAAATAACGCGTGTTTCTGGGTTTTTTTAAGGCATGGTCCAAACTCGACTGAATTTAGGAGTTCATCTCTGTTGAGAAGGCATACGGCTCTTTACACGACCCAAAGCGGTACTCCCGGATACGGAATTATTTTCTAATATACTGAAGCATTCCCGCTTAT